GTATTATAGTGCTATTATTGGAAGCAAAAATGAAATAACTCCATTATAAGTATATATTATGATATTACTGGCAACCCAATGACAAAGCAGCCGGGTAGTGTTCGCAAACTGCTTCTTTTCTTTCAGTTAAAGTTCCTTTGGATGAAAGTACATTAGTGTTTTTACCATTCAAAAAGTGTTCGTATGACACAAAACAAGACTACCAGAAAAAATGTACAGCATTATCTCATCAATCAAATCATATTCCCTTTTTAATATTTAATCAATAAACCCAATGTTATACAATAATATTCAGACTTTTTACTCATACACTCACCTCTATCAAGAAGTCATACACATGTCTACTGGTGGTTAACGGTACTGAAAAGCAAAGATTGGTTTTCAGTATTTAACAAACATTTTCTTTCCCATTCAGGTGTTTTGTGTTCACCAATGATGCAATAGTAATTACCTGTTAAAGGCCATGATAGGTAAGTCTTTATACTCAACTGTAAATCCAGATATGTGTCAAAACAACAGGGTAAACCAGCAGGCAATCCAAAATAAAAACATTTAATAATGAGTAAGAAAAAATATTAGAAAACTTAGTGGTTAAATTATTAAAACAGAACAATAAAATGTACTGTGCGGTGCTTTGCTATTGTACATTCCTGCTATTGTCTTGTGAGAGGTAAGGCAAGTCTAAAAATATATACCTCCTATTCAGTTATACCCTCATGATGGGACAGCCTTCCAGCTCTGAATCTAGGTGGGGGGGGGGGGGGGGGGGGGGGGGGGGGGTGGGTGGGGAGGAGTAAGAGAGGCTGCATTGACGTCACCAGCTTTGTGGTTATCAGTGGAGGTTAATCTGGGGGATGGATGGGTTTATGCAATTGTCTGTGCGCTCACAGGCTTCACATCTATGGATTTACTTTTTCCACTGTTTGACCCAGAGTGCTGCTGCAGCCTACACTGAGATAACACTGAGCACTGAGATGATGGAAGAAGGGAATTTCGATCTCTCTGTATGCATTTCTGCTGCCAGAGTCTAAGTGTTGATTTCTCCGACCAAATGCAATGTGCTCCAGGCAGGATACATGAGTTTGAACATAGGCTTTATTGTTTTGGGTCTGGTGCGCACTTTAAATGATCCTGTCACACAACGGGAGGGGCTTTTACTCTCCGATCGATAGAAAGTGAATTGATGAGGTTGAGAAAAGGAAAAAACATTGGAGTAACACTGAGTGCACATTTAGTGTTTAATAGCCTACTAAACGTGATTGATACAAGACTGAGAAAACAAAGTCATTACCGTTTATAAGCTGCTTTGGATACCGTTTGTAAAACCGTTATTATGCTTGCACCCTAACGCACGTACTTTATGAAATAGTTTTGGGAAATTAGATGACTTTGGCTTCTGCATGTCTGCAAAAAGTCAATCAAAGTTTCTTTTAGTGTGGTTGTGTAGGGAGGGGGATTGAACTTAAACACTGTAATAGCTTGCTATTACAAATGGTGTCTTGGCCAGAATTAGATTGATGTAATAATATTAAAGGTATGATATCTTAAAGTCAGCTCTCTACCAGTAGCACTGTATGGGAGAGTGTTTTCTTAGCAACCAGGATGTAAAAGTGATGGGAGTTTCTTAAGCATTGATTTTGTGTAGTAGACAATGATTGATACAATATTGAGTTTAATCTTGAACAATAGTAAGAATGAAAAAGGACGACGCCAATGTGGTTGTGAATTTTAGGCTCATTACCTCGATAACAGATCCTGTATAATTTTAGTGCCATTTTTGCTGGCTGTTACCGATGCATGTTATTCAGTTTTAGACTTAGGATATACTTGTGTTTTTAAGCCGCCCAAACACTTTCATGTAGTATACAAATCAATAATCTACGGAGGCCGACCCGTGCAAACGTGCTTCAACTGACCGAAAATTTCCATTAGGAGAAACGCGCTGCAGTTTAAAAATAGAAGCATAATAAAAAAACTCAAATGTGCCAAAACACATGCAAAGGAAGAAACAACTTCCAAGCATTCAGAAAACATTCACCAACTTGACGAAACATGCGCAGCGTTTGCTAAAAGCGCTGCAAATCCAAAATGCTGCTGGAAGCTAAACACAACAGAAACAGGGACATTAAAAAGTGACGCGCACAGCTGGGACCCGAGCGCTTGTTGATGTTCAGGAACTATAAAGCTAGCACATTGGTGTTTTCATATTTTCATACTTTCTTGAGCTGCAGCACATTTCTCCTAATTTTTTGGCTACCGTAATTAGCAGACTCTTGAAACTTAAATGCTATAATTTGTTTGATGTTTATATGCACATTTGTTGAAAAACAGCACAACAAATCAAACAAATGTCCTAAACAAAACAGGGCCAAATAATGTGAAGAATACATCATGTGTAAAACTAAAGCAGGGAGGAAGGAAAGGTGTGACGGAAGTTCATGCAGACTGATGTCCCTGTTGAGTCTACGAGGGACAAAAAGACTCTAAAGCACAAAGCCTAGTCTCCCACCGCATGGAATGGAAACCAGGATGTCCCCTCTACCCTGAGGTGGCTGCTTCTATAGACCGTGACCTTTGACCCCTTTTTGCCTTGAGACTTGCAAATCTGCCGGGCCAAAAGATTGAAAACAAATCTGGAAAGGGAAACAAAGAGGACTTATACTGAGAGTGATGCAGCTGGACAGCTGGAGCCTCGTCAGAGAGAAATCACTTTTATTTCCACGTGGACATAAAAAGCTGTGAGAGAGAAACTTTATTTCACAAAAGGGGGGTGAGATGTAGTTTGGCACATGGCGAGGCTTTTCATTTGGAAGCTGTCAAAGGATTTTAGAAAACATTCTCAGAATATCATTGAGAGATGTTTCTAAGAACACTTTCCAGATGATGTGGAGGACTGGGGCCTGGATTGGCTCGGGTTCAGAGGTCTGATGAAATTCATCCAGAGGGCCTGACCTTTGTTGCATAATTCATAACTCCACTTTGACCTTTGAACAAACTGCATTCCCCGACATGTGTTAAAACGACACATCTTAAAACCTTCTGGACAGAAGGTTGCTCAACCCATGAATTAAGATTAGCCTTCTGTGAATCTTGTATACACCGAAAACACATATTTTAAACCGCCAACCCTCTTTAACTTGAAACTGATCTTTCCCCAGAAGGATTCCTCACTGAGCTAAACTATTTCATCAACAGCATTTCATATTTTTAATTAACACAACACGAGATGCAGCATCCTTCTCCGTCATTAGCAAGGAATAAATTAAACTCCGGGCTTAATGAAAATGCTCAAGAACAGATTTGGGTTGTACTGAATGATGTATGAAGCCGTGTGAAGAGTTTCTTTCATTTGAATCGCAAGCCTTTCAATTAGCGGTTAGGGCGCTACAGATTGCTGTAGGAGATTTGAATATAAGTGTAAATATCACTGAAATGCAGTGTATTGATGTTGCGTACAAGCTGGGGAAATGAAAATTGCTTTGGATTTGGAAAAACACATTTTGTCCTTGGACGTTTCAATCAAAACAATAAGCGGAAACCTCTCATTAAGGCCAAACACCAGACTGAAGTCTAAACTTGTGATTGCTTCTATATGCTGGAAACTAACAATGGAAAGAAGAAGGCTTCTGTGAATTCATACTAGAGCTGAGTTTTCCCACCAAATTGGTACCTAAATTATTCCAATTTCACTCATCTGCACCTGGAAATATATGGAAAATACCTCTGGGTGGGCTCTCTTTTCCTTCTAACAGCTCCTTTATACATACAGAAGGACCTGGCCATGACTCAAATGAAATTCTCTATCAGTATTAAACGGCCCCAGGGTTAAGGAATAAATATGAGCACTAAAAGAAGTCCTGGACTCAAATCAAGAATCTTTAGTCCACTAAATTCCACTTGCCCAGCCTTTCAAGGTTTCCTTAATCATAGTTTGATTATTCATCATAGTTTCTAGATATGGAGGTCTTGCTTTATGATAACACGTGGTCTTATGGGGGACATTTTAAACCTTGTCTCTGGTTATCAACTGTGTTTTTTCTCAAATAAGGGATAGTGGCACTGTGCCAAGGGGCTGCAACGTTTTAGATTACAAACAGTTCCAATGGCTTCCAAAAGAACCAAATGACAGTTAGCATTCACTTCAGGGGGATCCTTGGAAAATCTTTTCCCATGAAATAGATTTCCTGGCCCCAGTAAAAAATAAGAATCCCTGGTTTATTGCTCTCAGGTCATATGATGACAACTGAGCCCCTCATCTACTGATAGAGGCCATAGGGGAAATCTCACAGTTAACCTTGTGTTGAAATTATTATCAAACAAGTTTTCCCTTGATTTCCTGTAGCATCAGATGCAGAAATGTGGCAATCATTAGAAATGTCTCTGGAAAACAAATCCCAAGAAATCAAAAGAATGTACCCATAGTTCTGTTGGTTTATCCCAAAGCTAGATTAAGCTTTTTGGTCTGTGTAAAGGCCAGCCTTCATCTGCATCTGCACATTATTCCTTAACTGGTTTGAAAGCTCTGGAAAAGTGGACATTAGGTTAAGATTTGTAAACAATAATTTCAAGAATAAAATGTCATGTTCAACATGGCCTATGTCAATTATTTTCACTTGCTAACACATTCAGTTCTCTGGAGCAATTAATACTCTAGCACCCAAATGTGTATTAATCTACAGTCCAAGAGTCTCTACAAATGCACCTGAGTAACATTTGCTAAAAACTAGCATGCCCTACTTGAGAAAGACACTGAAACCTTACAAAAAAATAAACATATTCTTGTCATTGTAAATCCTCAGGAGTTTTGGGCTTGAGGCCGAGAGCCACAGGTGAAGGAGGGAAGTAAGAAGGCATTTAGAAATACACCAACAACATTTGTTTTTTGATCTGATCACAGGATTTGCTGACAGTTGTGAAGAATACAGAATATTGCCAGCGAAGATTGGTCGAAATGCAAACTCCAAATGGAGTCGAAATCAAGACGGCGGACAAGAAGGGGCTCCATTTGGTTGACATTTTATTTCATGGTGGTAGGATCACAAGACAAAGGTCATAGAGTTAGTAATGTTCAGGTCATGCCACTCGTACGCGGGGCACTGGCCTTTGAGGAGCTTTGCAGTCAGACAGTAGTTTACAGAGGCCGGACATGGAGGGTCATCCACATGTAGACATAAATAAGGAACAGAAAATAGATTCCAAAAACAGTAAATAGAAGATCTTTTCGTAAAAAGCCGGAGGGGGACATTTGCAGAGCCCCCCCCCGGGATATTTTTTGTGTACAGTATGAGCATTATTACTGATATAATTATCATTATTATGTATTACTCCTTTACATTATGGGGATGAGGCTAATACACTGGCTAAAATAAGGAAAACAGTTATATGGATGACGTCACCTGCTCAGAGAGAGGTGATTGGGTTTTTTAAGGCAAATAGTTTTCAAACCACAGGACTGCTATCGTCTTAATGTTCTCGAGTCCATCCGAATACACAGGGATTTCTCCTTTATTAATGTCGCCACCTGAGCTGATCAAATTCAAACACAATGGTACAATAAGACCAGTCCAAGGTTAATAGTGCTGGAATTTTAAACGTGTCTTGCATCAGAAAATAAGGGTTTTCCTGGTGTGGACACTCAACAACACAGTTTATAGCTTCAGGGCTTTCCCTCCCTACATGAGTATATCATCATGTGGGCGACATGGTTCCAGTGTATATTACTAAAAACATAAACCTCCACATATAACACATTTGCTAAGTTCACAAGGGCTGTACAAAAAACAATGATGATTTAAGAAGGGAAATTAAGAAAAGACAAAGTAGCACAAGACCATTCAATACTCGACCATGAACAGGCATGATTTTGTCTCAGAGTATTGCCAAAGTTCTCAATATCAAAACAAAGTGTCCCTTTAAGTCGGTCAGCGCGGGCTTATTGTGGACGACTTCACCACGTTGCATCAGTTCACTGAAAGTTAAGAATTCGACTAGTAATGAAATACAAAACCATGCGTCACTATGTTAATTTGCCAAGTACTGTAGATTATGCATCGGTTTCCCATGTTTGCGGCTGTTATGGCTCCAAAAGTCACAACAACGTCTTTCTCCTGGATAGCCGGAAACAACAAAAGGTCCTCCAGGAATGCTCCGAGTCAAATACGAACGAAATGAAGTCTCAGAAAGAGTTTTTGAACGAATTTTGTTTGACGGTGACATTCCCAAGAGTGGTTAGGCTCTCCTCATGATAAGATCTCTGCTGGCCTCCTTCCTGTCTGTTCCTTCTTCAGTCTTTGCTTTCAGCACCTCCTTAAGGTCAGATATGGTAACAACCTCTTCCCCGTATGCACCATTCAATGTCCTGCAAAACTAACTGCTCCCAGGAAAAATGTTTTAAAAAAGGCCATAAAGATACAGGGATATGAACAAATATAAAACATTATTCCGAGCTCAGTGGGAATTATTTTCAAAATAAAACTAGAAAACAAAAACCAGATTCAAACCAACACTGCAGAAGTGCATGCATTTATAGTGGTCATCATTAGTTTGGATTGTTAAAACAGAACGCACAATAGTATATGAGAAGCAAAATTCTCCAAAGAGAACCCATCTTACATATTCACAGTCTCAGGTATTATTTATATACTCTATATTTATAACATTTATTCATGTCTTGACTTATGACTAATGATATGCGCGTCATTGTGGAGCGCTCTCTCCGTCATGTCGGCTTGAAGTGTTAGTGAGTCATATTTCAAAACTAGAGGCTCTGATGGGATTCAGATTGAGCGGGAGAGTTTTTTTTTTTTTCTTTTTTGGGGAGGGTGCTCTGCGATGGGGGTGATGGAGTGGTCTCGAGCTGTGTACTTTCTCACTGTAGCAGCTTGACTGATATCTGAAAAGTCCCATTAGGAAAAAAACAGCGGGCTACTGGTGGCTGATTACATTAGAGTTTCTTGTGTGGAGTCGCCAGCTGGCCGCAGCATCAAAGAGCCGCAGCAGGGGGGGGGGAATGTATGTCTATCATGAAGGTACGGTATGGGCCATGCTTGGGGAATGTGGACGATAGATATGGCACCAAGACAAGGCCGTTACCAGAGATCTGCTGCGACGTCCACCAGTGTTCAAGTAATGAGCGAGGAGGGGAAAAAAGGAAGCAGGCAGCTTTTTTTTTTTTTTTAAGTTGGCGTTTGTTTTAATTAAAACAACAAAACTGACAAGAATAACATATCTCCCTTTCACCAGAGATGCCTGCTTTTTGAAAAAAAAGAAGATATATATGAAGGGGCTAGGGGCAGAAAGAAGTGTGTTCTGTTTATGTAGGTGCAGATAAAAAAAAGAAAAAGAAACAAATATATAAAACAAAAATTAAAACAACATTTTCTTTCCACATAAAAAGCAATGAAAAGTATACAAAAATAGAAAATAATTACAGCAGGAGACATGGCGCTATGGAGGGAGCGAGTGGGAGGTTTCTTATTTTTCTCCGTTTATTTCTCAAGATTCGGTCTCTGCTGGGTTATTTGGCGGCGGAGCAGTGTAGTATTTTGGGGCTTGTTTAGGGCGTCTTTCCACCGGTGGAGCTCCACGCCGGTCCACCACCACGTCCTTGATGCAGCCCATGTACCCCGTGCTGTAGGCTTTGGGCAAACGACGGGCCACCCGCCAGCTCCTCCAGACCACCGGGGGGGGGGACAGGGGGGTTAATACAGGAAGTTCAGAGTAACACTATACACACATATTAAAGAAAATAAGAGAATATAATTACTCAAACTACAATTCCCGAATCTACCATAAAACATTGTCACTGGCCAACTTTGAGAATTTCACACATTTTTGAATGTTTTCAGACAGACTAAGGGGATGAACACATTCGAAATACACATTTATGTCAATATCCAATGTTCAAATGCGTAATTTGCATATTTAAACATTATATTGCGGAAACTTGAATTAGCAGAAAGTATTGTTTTAATATCAGTTATCAACTGGAGTAGTTTAATGGTGAAACTAGTATCTGTATTTGAATATTACCATATTCATATGCAGTATCCTCACTCTAACGGGCCCGTCCACACAGCGGCTTTGGAAAAAGCTTGCCGGCGGGCGTGTCTGAAGCTCGACCAACAACCAATCACATGAAATCTCCCGCCCTGACACACAAGCAGCGGTTTGATTGGCTAGAGCTTTGTACTGGCATATGATTTGATTGGCTGATGCTTTCCACCGAGAGCTTCAGAAGCTTCAAAAGTTGAACATTGCCTCAACTTTTGCAGCCTAAACGCCAGGAATGCTCCGCCTCTGCTTCCCACAATGCAGTTCGGCGAAAAGTGACGTCACCCCATTCAAGTGAATGGGCAGAAGCGTTGGAAGAAGCTTCCAATGCCACTGTGTGGACGGGCCGTAAGGGCTACTGCAGTTATTGGACAAGCACTCAACCTCTAGTTGCTACATTTCCCATAGTGCATTGCATTCCCCACCCAGCTTCTCTCTTACAAATGTTCAAGATTGGAGCCAAAAACAAAAATCCCCAGATGATATCTTCAAGGGTGAAGGCATTACACAATTATCATCAAGGTATGCCCCTTTAAAGATAAAAAAAGATAAAGGATAGGATTTCAGTTCAAGATGAGACCTTGGAGATGCCTTCAAAAAGGCTGTACCGGAAATATATTTTCCTATAAAAATGTATTTCTGGGTCTAAATGAGTTACTTGTGTCTTTTATTCTCATGGCGACGCCAGCGGATGTACATGACAGGTTGACACTTTATATGTCAAAGCGCCGTGATCAAAAGCAGAAAGCTGCATGCCAGCCAGAGTTAGTTAAGATAGACGGGAGTGAAGGTTCCCTCTCATTTGAAACGATGAACAAGTGCTCAAAATGTTCCACTAATGAAAGGTGATGACAGAAAGTAACATTATATATACCTGACATCCTCATTATATCTAATTTGTTTCAGTCTTAAGTGCTAATCGCTCATTTCACTCCCTAAATATCACCTGTCCATCAAATACTCCGACAGCTTTTCTTTAAGATTGACTCCTTATAGGTGCTGCTCTCTTCTGTGCTAACCACTCACTTCTTCCTGTATTAATTCAAAACAAACCAAAGAGATCAAATAAAAGCCATTTTCTGTGCGACTGTTTTCTGAAAAGAGATGTTGCTGTTTCATTTTATTTAAGGACCCATGTCAACTCTAACACAGAAAATACCTGTCTATGCTGCCCAAATGGTCCCATTGGTCCAAATGGACCAATCCGTGGAGCCGTGAAAATTGCACAGTATAAATCTATTTTAGTATACCTCAACAATGGAATTATGATCAGTAGAAACGGCCATGACATGGGACCTTTAAATCAAATGTTGTAGAGCTGTAAAATACCAAGTACCATTCACCTTTGTAGTGAGGTGGAGAAAAAGACACAGACAATAGATATGTAGTTTAAGGGGCCCTATTATGTTATTTTCGGTTCATATTTGTAGTTAGTGCCTTTACTGCGACATGTTTACATGCTGTAATGGTTCAAAGAGGCTCTTATTTGCCTCTCATATTGTCTGAGCTTCAGCACCTCTCTCACCCTCTGTCGGGAAACCAGAGCCCAGTCTGCTCTGTTGTGATTGGGCTCAACCGCTTAGAGATATGTCCCACCCCTTAGCCAATCACATTATGGCCCAATCCCAAACCACGCCCTACACCTACACACTACCCCCTCCATTTGCGCGTTCGAGCAGAGGGTCCGCCCACATTAAGTGCTTTTTCCAAACCAACGAGTGTGGAGCGGTGTGGAGGGGGAGTGGGTTACTCAAGCCCTCTAACAGCGAGTCTGCATCAGTGCTGACTGGAGACCGGCCTCTCTACCCTGACCGGTTCTCAACGCTGTGTGTGTCCGTCAGGAAAACACGCTGTTCACAAGTAGTTCCAGCAAACATCCACTGATAAATTGCGATGTTAACAACCTCATGATAATCTCATATGTTTTTAACTTAGGATCATAAATGGGGCGAAGCCTGCGAGCTAGTTCAGGAAGTCAACTCGAGCACCAATGATACATTAACACGTGGCGCACCTCGTCCCTCTTACAACCAACCAAACACATTCTCCTAAACATGCCACTCTATTTAAGCTGCCAGGTCTTCCTGCCTCTGCCTCGCTAATGCTTCTGCTGCCATTGCTGTGTTCACTTGCTATTGCTATGTTCATGTTCCTGCTGCTGTGTTTCATGTTGCTGCTGCTTGCCCCCCCCCCCCCCCAGCTTCCACCTGTAGGCTCGGGGGTAGTTATCTAATCATCACTCAATGTTCTTTGTAAATCTGTGGAGTGATGAGGCCCGAGCCTAGACGCCAAACTCAAACGATATGCTGCTTCTAATAAACATATTAAGAAACACGTGAGTTGTCTGACTGAACTGCGGTTAGTCTAGAAAAAGATAAATGTGTGCATTTTATTATAAAGTTGTGTATATTTACAGACTGTTGCAAAAACTAAGAAGCTTATAAACATCAGGTTTAAAACACAATTAAAGATGTTTGGAGATTTATTTGAGTTATTAATTTTTATTTTGTGTCAAAGAGATGCTGATTTGAAACCGTTGTTACATACAGTTAAGGCATTTCCTGTTTCTGCCGGAGAGAGGGGAGGCCGTCCCAAAGCTTGCTGCTGTATTTACTCCCTCCATCTGACAGGAGTCGCGAGTGTCACTCCACGGAGTTCCCTCCGTCACGGAGGGGTAAGTGTGTAGGGGTAGGGGTGTAGGGCCTGGTTTGGGATTGGGCCTATATGTGTTGGAGCGCTATCCAATATAGGCGCTAGTGTTTCATAGTGATGTCACTATCTGACGTAAGTAAACGGAGGAGTTTAATCGAGCAAGAAACTCTCTCTGGAGGGACCTTTGGGATTTGAGTCTTTGAAGACCATTTAAATGCACAAACATCTACATAACACACTACAGGAACGAGAAACACACCAACAAGCATGATAGGACTCCTTTAAATTGATTCTTTATGAAAACATGTTAGAAATGGCAGTCTTTTAAGCCTCTTAAATATGACGATTTCTTGATTTTCCCTATTTTATATCATATCAAAGGATCATTTCTTTGGGTTTGAGACTGACGAAATTAGACATTTAGTCGATTTTCCTGTATTTCCTGACATTTTGTATGCCAAACGATTAATCTAGAAGATAATCAGATTCATCTGGAATTGCAGCGCTACAAGAGATAAAAGGAAAAACTTGTATTTTTACTCAAAATGAGCTTTTGAAGCACTTGTGCGCTGGATGTAAATTGTCTCACTAAAGCGTTTTATCTATCAGTCATAGAACGTTTTAAAAATGGAAATCTCTTAATATGAAAATATTGTGGATTTGTACTTCAAAGCGTTTCAGCCCCTTACTTTCCATTCAGCTTTAACTTTCCTGCACTTTTTATTCCTATTTGAAGTCATCCAGCGCAATCTTTTTCTTCTTATAGTCTTATACCGTCCTTTTGAAGAGACGTGATGACCTAATTGCTGGGTGTGCTGTTTGCCTACTTTCTCCTTTTGATGATGTTTTTCAGCTTCCCTTCTTTGAGCCAGCACGCTCAAAGTCATTAGTGTCTCTCTCAATAAATCAGCGTGAAACGTCTTATGGAGAGTTTGAGATCTGTTACTGGGAGAGTTTCTGACCCCAGGTTTTGATGTTTTACCTGCTCTCGGTCTCCCTCTCTATCTACACTTCCAGAACTCTCCAGCATCCCTCCTCCTTTTCCCCACATCCCATATCTCCTCCCTGTTTTCTCTCTTTCTAATCCGTCTGTCTGAGAGTTCATTTCCCCGACGAGCTCTTTACATCCCCTATCCCTGCCCCCTCTAATCGAATTGCGCGCCTCAGAATCGGGGATCGACAGACAGGGCTAATTTCATGCAAGTTACAGATGAATTAATGATGAACAGTCCTGAAGGGGATTTAAAAAGGAGAAGGGCTCTCGACGGGGGGGCTGTGGTGAGGATTATGTATTCCTGCTGCAGGCTCTCAGCACCTGTTCCGGCGCTCTGCCTCCCTGTGAGTGTTTGTGTACCTGAGTACACCTCTACATGCAGCCTCTCTTCTAAGTCACTCTGCACTCAAAAGGAAAAAAAACCTGACTTTATTTCAATGTTATTTCCTCCGAATGCTCCATACCGCTGTGCCGTGTGTGTTCTTTCAGAAAAGCCATTTCTCCGAGCTAAGTTCACCGAATATGAGAAGCAGATGACAAGGCAGCTTGGTCATTTTCAATTCAGGAGAGCGGACAACTTTTCACTCAGATAGCCTTTCATTTCTCAAGTCAATACCTGAATTGGCTCGGACACTTTTTTTTTGCCCAAACTGCAATGTGTTTTCCCTGTCTGAGACTTTGCTTATCCTCTGCAATGCCAATGAGTTCATTGCTCATTTTTGGCAGCGCGTCGGAGTGGGTACAGAATTACAAGTATTCCCTTGACTTTCTTTTACATTTGTGGGTACCAGTGATGGGTCAAATTGGTTCCTCTAATCTGATATGTTTGAATGCTTAAATGTTTGAAAAGTGCTTTATGCGAGAGAGAAACTCTGTCTGGACAGAACTTTTCAGATTTTAGCCTTTCCAGACGATTTACATGCACAAAAACCTATACAACCTATGAAGGAAAACCCCTTCAAAACCATGAAAGGGCTGGTTTAGGAGAAAATGTTAATGTAGGAATTTAACTTGTGATGGAGTATTTGACAGAAATGTATTGGTACTTTTATTCAACTACAGATCTGAATGCTTCTTTCACCAGTGGTGGGGACCTACCGAGCCACAGCGCTCCGTCTGTGTCCAGCTGCGTGGCTGCCAGGGGCGACGACCCTGTTACCGCTGCCTCATTGCCGACCTGCAGAGAGCCGTCTCTGAGTGCTCTGAGGAGGAGAAAGAAGAAGAAGAAGAGAGAGTTGAAAAGTGATGCATGCATGCATGGTGAATAGCTGTAAATTGGAGTTTCATTTAATCTCAAGCATCGAGACTCCATTGCTGTGCTGCCAGCGCACTAAGCACTCCCATAACTGCCTTTGCCAAGCCAGCGTTCTAAATGTGCCTGTCTGTCTACAAAGCTAACAGATGTCGCGAGAGCGCCATTCATTTTAGGTGGCTCGGCGCTACGCATTAGCGCACACTTAAGAATTGTGGCGACGGGGCTAATTTGAACCCATTAAAGTGTGTTCCAGCAGTGAGAGGGTGTCGTTAACGGCAAGCCGCAAACACAGATATCTATGTAACCACATGCTGCGGTTACACCATCATCACATTCAAATTATGTCATCTCATGTGGCCCTCCCTGCAAAAGCCTGGGATGTTTGGATACGGCGTCTTCTGTCGGAGGATCGATTAGTCTCGCTTTACATGATGAAGCCGATCTAATTATCCCCCCCCGATTCTTTCACCCACAGCCGCATTTGAAAGCAAATGTTGGGCAGAGATAAAGCAGAGATCCCGTGGAAGGTGTTAAGTGGGTCGTTCTCAAAGTTCAGGAAGTTAATTTGTTTCTAATGAAGGAATCCGTTAATGTGACATCGCTGTGTGGCAAAAATAAATCTGTGCTTTGTTTTTTTTATACATCTGAATGAAGATTCATGTGCTAAACTAAAACCTTTGTTAGTGTGACTAATGTGTGAGGGATTTATTTGGTGTACACTCTAAACTCATGCTGTACGTTTAAGACTGAAGTATGAGAATAAACACTATTACTAGTGTCAACCTTAATGATAAGAACATTTTTATTTTATGATTCTATTCATGCTGATTCTATATTAAGGATTCAAATAGGATCAACATATGTAATAAGAATGCTGTATGTATACATTATATACATACACTTTTTTAATATATCATTTCTTCCTTTTCTGGATACATTACCGCTGATGTGCCAATATGTTTTGGGATGCTGCCGCGTTTTCTTCCTGTTTGAACATTATTAACGTGGCTAAGCAATTCCATGCTCGATGCGTCATACTCATGCATGACCGGGCATGAAAATAACCTTAATGTGAAACTAATCAGAGGCATCTCAGTGCAGGGGGATCACTGTGTAGCATTGAATTCATGCTTCAGATCACACACCGTTCGCAGCAACACAAACACAATATGGATTAAGTGTAATCCCGGGGTAACAGCTGATCCGCGGCTCACCTGCTGGCCTTGATGCGTATCCAGCGGTTGGTGTCGACGCGCATCGAGGAGCGCAGCACCACGGGCTTGGAGCCCAGGTCGTATGTCATCTGGATGTGTCCGTCAACGATGGCCAGGGCGATGTAGTCGGAGCGCTCCACGCCCTTCCCGCTCCACAGCACCAGGCCCTGGGTCGCCTCCGTCCGGATGCTCAGCTCAAATTTGTTCACCAGCAGAGCCTTCTCGCTGCGAGGACAGGAAGCACATCAGTTAGCTATTTGGACTGATTTTTCAAAAAGAGAGCTAACCTTTGGCATACATAGCCTTTGTCATGTATGGCATATTTGAAACGAGAAATCTTTGCTGTACATTACCCATGATTCATTGACATGGTTCTCTACAGTCTTACGTGTTTTTAAAGCTGAGCTAAGGAGTTGCAGGGAGCTGTTTTGATATTAGCTTCCCTACATCCTACTGAGCCTGTACTGCATTGCTGCTCAGTGCTTTCTATGTGTGTGTGTGTGTCTTGAGGCAGCTTTTTGATCTCTAGTCCCTCGAGCTGCGGGGGTGATTTGGATGCAAAGACTTGGCGACTTCCACCTTACCACTGTACGTCACTGCCACTGGTGGGTGAGGGAAACTCAACACATTGATGTGCTCCTACCGTACCCTCACACATACAGTCCTGCATACAAACACCCTAACAGAGTCCTGAAGAGATAAATAGCCGACATCCAGGGTCACAACTTCAATCTGTGTGTATGTGTGCGATTGTGTGTGTGTGTGTGTCATCAATCAGCATGTGTGCAAAGGTCTGCACATCTGCCAAGTGGATCTACTTCCACCTTCTTCAAAGGGCATCCGAACACAAAGACACAGACAAGGTGAGGACACGTACAACAAAGAACAAATTACACGTGGATTTGGTAAAATAAAAAACAAGAGCTGGAGACAAAAGATTAGGACAGACGACAAGACAAAGCAGCAAGCATAGCAAACAAAGAGGCTCATGGGAGTACAATAGGACAGGAAATGGGAAAGAGAAACTGGCAACTTCTCCTTACACTGTAGGAGTATTCCCTCATTTTCTTTTCTTTATGGAGCAAGAATAAAAAGAGCATTGGTAAAGAGTTATGGGATGGTATGTAACTTTGAGTTTATTAACCTGCTGGCCTCATGTTAGGCCACTTTGACCCCTGAGGCTAACAGTAATAGTGGTTCCCTCAGCAGATGTGGGAGGAACGAATCAAGTAAACTTACTTCAAAAAACATGCTTTGGTTGGAAAATTGACCCCCTTGATTCACTAAAATCGCTGAGGTAAACACGAACAAAAAAGACTCTGATTCAGGAGAATGTTTATTTTCTCCAAAGAGAGAAAAAAACATAGCTCAGTGTACCCTCTCCTGGCAAACCCTCAGAGCTTACAGGGAACTATAATCTCCATCGGAGCGGCGTGTCAGTGATAAGGTCAAGGTTATAAAAGTGCTGAATATATCATGAATAAAACAACACCGGCGCACCGCATATACACCACTGACTTCCACAGATTGCTGGTGTGTTTCTCTTTGTAAATAGGATTTTTATCTATCTCTTATGGTATTCAAATTCAAAAGCTTTTTTCAGAGTGCCGTCCTTTATTCCATCTCTAGGGTGGCAGTAGTGGTTAGAATAATAAAAAGCCATCAGGGAGGACAGCTGCTGCAGAGAGGCTGGCTCCTTCTGTGCTCCTTATCAGAAGCTCTGAACTTCAGAATTAATTGAGGGCTCTTTCTCCTATTGGTAACTCTATCTCGATAATGGGAACAATGCTGTCTCTGGGGAGGAGGGTTTAGCCCTGTGAGAGGTCGGGGAGGGGTCTGTCCTGGAGAGGAACGGAGGGATGAGGAGATGAGCAGGCGAGTGGAGGAAGTCCAAAAAAGCGTTTTTGAGAGACTCACCTCTGGTCAGATGGGTTCTCCAGAGACTCGGGACTTAAGGGAGGCGGGGGAGAAGAAAGTCAACGGCATGCAGTTGTATAGCGCAGGAGGCCAGAAGGAAAGAAGGAAGGAGGGGATGTGTGAGCCCACTGGGTGACTCACAGACTAGTTTAGACCTGGAGCTGCAAAAAAGCATAACTTATCCGCTCTACTACAGTATCGACTGAGAGTCAACAGTCGATAACAACTGCTGTGTGATCATGGTGATCATGGGAAGTGTGTAGCTTAGCCTGGATCACAACACAACCATAAAGAAGGATCTCAAAGGAACTTGTCTGATCAAGACGGATGGAAAATGCACCATTATGCCTTAGAGATAAGAATTGCAGCATTTTAAAGGGGACATATTAATATTTTCAGTTTCATACTGACTATTTTGGGTTTGTTACAAAACCATGTTTACTTGCTTTAAATGCTAAAAATAAAACACATTATTTGTATTATATGGTCTGTCTGAATATACCTCTGTTTACCTTCTGTCTGAAATGCCTAGTTTTGGGCCCCTGTCTCTTTAAGACCAACTCTAAAAAGCCAGTTAGTTTTGGTTGGCTTGGAAACAAATTGCAAAGGTGGTTCCCTAGCCTTTGGTTGAGATTTTTGTGAAATATTTGTGTTGTAAAATTATTTGTTGGCTGGTAGGACCCCATATACCTTAAATGTATATGCACACTGACTGATATTTCCCCTTTAAACGTGAGCATCAAGATTAAATACACTCATGGTCCACACATGTACGAAGGCCACCTTAAGGTCAAATTATTTACTTACTACTTTGAATTCATGATACAGCAAGCCACAGTGCAGCCGCAATTACCTTCTGTCTCGAGATGGAAGCCGTGATTGAGAAAAATTGGACAATTCTTTAAAAAATGTGGTCAAGCACCATATCAGTTGCGAGTCATGGTAAGATATGATTTGTCACGGAAATAATAAGCTTGAGCAAATCAAGCCTTTAGATATTGGCAGAGAGGTGAAGGGGGAGCGTTCAAAGGGTGCTGTAAATAGTAACGGCAGAATTAACCTGAGGTGAGCGCTTGACATTTTGGCCTCGCCAGCTCTTACAAAATCAAATTATGCCGAATTGATCGGAACGCCTTCAGAGTGCTCGCCGCCAAGACTCCAGTTTGCTTAGGTTCACCCTCATTGTGGCCCTTAGTAAATGTGACATCCATTTAACTTTTGACAGTCTGGCTCCAAGGACCCACTGTCCCCTCCTGCTAAGTGAGATTGATGCCCATGGCTACACAGCGCAGAGAGATCTCAATTGGAGGGTCTGATCTACAAAAGGAAGACAATCTGTGATTAACATGTCACTGCCTCGCTCTACCCCCCGACTTGGTAATTATTCACAATTGCAGTTAGAGATCTGGCAAAAAAACTAAAAATGACAGAAGCCCTGGCATGGATTGGAACGCTGGGCTGAATCCTGTCGGCTTAATTTGAGCTAAACTCTCGCCTCGTCGCTTTGTGGGATCTTTTAAAGAGTAGGTTACTTACCGAGCTAATGAGCTGCAAGAAAACCCATAACAGCTAAGTCATGGACCGAAGGCTTTCCCAAGCAGGAACCAGAGACTAGGTTAAGGTGTTATTAAGTATATCCTCCTCCTGTAGTTTTCAAGGGGTCTCGTTCATTTACCACATAACAGATTCAGCGTATAGGCAATTCATTTTGTTTATGAACGAAGTTACAACCATGCACACAGTATTGCATTCTTTGTACAGCAATTCAATTTTCTCTGAGGGAGTTGAGCACAATGCTAATCATGCACACATTCATGCTTCCTTTTGCACTGGGATAAATGAGGCTGCAAATGTATTTCAAGTAATGAAATCTGTCAAAAATAAATCATGGATATGGAGCTCGAACGTAAAATCTGACTTCAAGATGATTTCTGCGTGGGAAAATATGACCAGTTACTGAATGCACTTTCATTTATTCCTTTGGGTTAACTATAAAAAATGGATTATCTTTTGGGTTGCTGTTAGTTAGGCTTGATTTGAAGCTGGGCAAATACCCAGTCGTAAAGTCTACTTACTCTGGGATCTCATTGGTCAGTTGGCTTGAGTGAAAGGAAAGACAGTGAAGGACATTTATATGAGACAACACATGTGGGGACAAGGACAAGTGAGGTCAGACTGAAGGACAGGACAAAGGTCACACAACTGGAACGCTGCGACCGCGGACAAACAGCAAAGATACAGACAACGACACAAACATACACATATCGACAGAGTTCTGTGTGTGGGCGGGAGTCGTGCGTCTGCATGGAGACTCTGATGATCTGCAGGCTGCGGCCCTGTTTTCACACCTGAGTGTTTGTGTGAAGAGCTGCGAGACGTAGATATAGAGCCGTATGCTTGATGTTGTCTCAGGTTTGTCACATGAACATTTTTGTTTACAGCCAACCTGAGGCGCGAGCTCTTGCCAGCCTTGAAGATGGATGGAAGAGTAAAATTGTCTCATCAGCTAAAGGGACAGGATTTATCTTCCTTTTTTTTTAACACCTGCTCCAAAAAACAATTTTACACCAAGATGATTTTCTCTTTACAAAGCATTACAAATTTCAGGTGAGATGTTCCAGTTTTAATGAGAAAACGTATACACATATTAGAAACAGAATACAATTGTAATCATGTGAACTTGTTGTCCGTGAGACAGCGGGAGACCACAGAGCGTACTGGGCGCGCTCAGGGTAACGCTTTGATTGTTAACCGCCTCGCTAATTACTTAAATCCTGTCAAAAGCTGAGCAAGGCTGCCATAGATGAGGGGGGGTGAGCTATTAGCCAAGCACTAGTTCACCCTGAAGCCGTTTTATCACTGATGATATCATCAACGCTGTCGTCATGGCTTATCGAGGGGGGAGATTAATAGACAGAGGGGTTATTTGGCTAATAGCCGTTACAATGGAGATGTCGGATGAAGCCTCAGAGATGAGGATGTTCCCCTTGCCCTCTTCCTTACCTCTTTGTGACAGCGTTGTGGTACTCGATGAACGTCCGACCGTCAAAGGCAATGGCCTCGGTCTCTCCTGCAGACTTCTCATAGATGGCTGCAAAAGCAGGGGGGGGGAGAGAGAGAGAATGAGATCACACCAATCAATAACAGCGAGGAGTTCAGTTATCAGAGCCAAGGCGATGGAGTGTGAGGAAATGGGACAAGGAAGAGAGAGGGGTCATTTTTTTCCCGCTTTAATTAACGTGAAAGGGACAACCGGCCAGACGCACAAGGTTAATGGCGAAGGCAGTAAGTGAGTGTGTGAGACAGATCGAGCCGGAGTGGATGTATGTCTGGCAGGCTGACATGAATATGATGAAACTGATGTGGAACTCTTGAAAAGAGCCTTTAATGAATATTCAATCAACATGTTTCATCATTTTCAATGGTTTGAAATCAATACATAATGACCCTTACATAAAAGAGACATCACAAATTTAATACGGACATTATAGCCTAGACAGAGAAGAATGGAAACCATGGTCTTATGAGCAGAAAAGAGATGAGACTATAAGTTTAACTTCCATTGAGGCAGGCTAAGACCAAGCTGTGTGTTAAAGGAAGTATTGCTGATTTCAGTCCCACTCATACTACGCTTCACAATCAGCCAAATACTGCCTCACAGAGTGAAACCAAGTCATGTTGGATGAGGAAATGGAACAATTTGTACTGTTGCATCGCTGTAATTTCACACTCCCATGATAAGGTGATCTCAAGCCAGCAAGTATTGCTAGTTATTGGCTTGCACCTGGACCAATCATGCTGATTTCTAAAAATATATTTAGAGTAACAGATGTGTATAAGATAACATGTATAAGTAACATGGCTGTAAGGATGGATGATATTGATTGGCAGAAATACTCACTGTTCTGACAACGGCCCCCTGAGAACCCACTGAGGCACACACACTCGTAGGCGTCCAGCATGGGGTTGCAGCGCCCGCCGTTTTGGCAGGGCTCCTGGGAACACGCGTGCTCCTGGAACATGTCGATGTTGCTGGCACGCAGGGCGTTCTCCTCTCTAAGGATCGGTGTGCCCATCAGAATGATCTGGGAACAGCAAACACAGGGTTAACGGGGCACTGCAATGAGTTTACTTTAGGTTGCACACACAATAGGTCAGCTAGACATGTTGTAAACCTTTTAAAGTTTGACCCTTAAGAAGTGCTAAAAGCCGGGATATCACAACATCTTTGATTTTCATTTCTCTTGGGAGTCCACCAACTTCAAGTAAGTAAAATACTATCACTTTAAATAGCCTCAAGAGTCTGTTCCAAATCTGCTCTGATTGGTTTGCTTGTCAGCTCTACCCCTAGCTTGTCACGTACAATAGGCTTAGAGTGCTAGCCAGTAAATTACACAAGCAGCAGACAGGTTATGGTAAACATACAGCAGCACACCGATTCATATAGGTTTTTTAAACACATGCAGGAATATGGTACTTTCGCTAACATAGACACACACACAGCCTTTCACAGTTATGATGAGGATTGTCTTTGTTTAGTTTGTTTTTACTCTAAAAGAAGCGAAGATTTGGAAAATCACTATTATTATTATTTTCTTTTTTTAAATTTTCTTTCCAAGGAAATGGGGAATCAGAAAATAAGCTGTATGTGATGGTTGATATGAAAGTCACTGTTTGAAGGAAAATTGACACCGTACACGATTTGTATCATTGTCTTGTAATGTACTGTCGAATGTCATGTTTTATGTTATTTGTGGACCCCAGGAAGATTAGCTGTTGTTATGCACCAGCTTAATGGGGATCCTAATAAACTAATAAACTCATAGGAGCACGGGTGTTGTTGTAACATAGGGATGTCATTATGTTACGGTAGGAAACAAACCTTTATAACATACTACAGGAAATGGAAAACCCGCCAAATAAAACTAAGTAGGGCCTCATTAATCAAAAGGAATTCTAATTGGTGCACATAAATATATTTATTTCCATGTATCCACTTCAAAGAAACTAAAATAATGATAACTTTATTAAAACATTGCTTGTTCATAGATTTACTCTTTGCTGGTTCATTCAAGTAAGAAACTGATTCATGAAATACTTTATATATTATAATAATATTCAATAAATAATACCATATACTCATATACTCTGGTGAGGCTTTGGTACCAGTTGCAGGAAAATTCCCAATTCCCTTTGGACCTTATTATCACAACACATCTAAGAACAAAGTACTTTAACAGTGAGGCTGTACATGTGTATGTTCTTCCTCAAACATAAACAGTTACCACCACAGGTAATACTGAGAAATTAGGAGTTGCTACAAACACACGCGGTTAAACAGCACATCAGACTGAAAATACATAGCCTTCCTCCTAATTAACAATTCCCTACAGAGCGAGTTAGACAAACACCACATTTAGCATTTGATTTGCTCGAAACTGTCATGGGAAAGTTGCAGAGGAGAACTAATGACAAGTTTGTATAGACAGTAGCATCCTGCCTTTGTTCTACTGGGTTATTTTTGGCACTCAGAGATGAGCTTTTTGCTGGAAAGTGGAGGGGAAAGAAAAAAAACTGGAAGGCTGTCAGCGTAAGATCTGAGAGTAGTGAAAAGGAGGGAGTTAAAAATGAGCATTCTATTATTAGTGCATGCTAATCCAAATGAGCAGAGCCACTGCCCGTCACATTTTGAGCTATAATGGAAAATATTCTAAAATGAGGGTCTGTAGTATGACAGCTGGACAGCTAATAACTGCTTCTAAGGGCAAAAGGGATCAAAGTCAATGAAATAACATATATAAATCAGTAGGATATACAAGCAGAGTTAATGACACGATAATCCTGCAAGAAATAGAGGCTTGTAAACATTTACCTTTTGGATTGTTCCCTTGAAGCCCTCCGTGAGTGCAGCGACTCTCGCTAGCCGGCTGTAATCGGGGGCTCCGCCGACGAAAAGAGACTCTTTCAGGTTAAGATCTACGTGCAGGTTCTGATGAGACAGGACACACAGAGGTATGGTGAGCTAGAGCTTGGTGAAATAAAATATTAAAAACCATTGCATTTTGACTTAAACGCCCAATTGAATCTTTTCTCGAATTCCTCTCAATGGTCTTTATTCAGGACGTAATGGTTTATGGTTTTGATTATCCTGAGCGGAGTAATGTTTGTGTCCAGGGAGCATGAAATAAATTGTATTCTTTTAGTCAGAATATAAAAAGTGAGATTAATAAACCAGATTTGCAGACGTGTCACACTCAAGGATCTAGAAAGACTATCCACATTGTAGCCGGCAGTCGCTTTAACTGTGCTTCTTCGCCTTCTTTCCACGTCAATACACTTGATACATTAACACATAATGCATTTCAGCGCCTCTCAGAGAGAGTGGTCAATTATCCTCTATCTGTGAGATATAAAAGGGACTACAAAGAGAAATCAGGAGCAGGCTGGAGTGGAGATATGGATGCTTCTTTACAGACATCTCTAATGAATGGCTGCTCATACGCGCCGACCTTTCAAACAGTTGAGCGTGGAGACACATTCATTGCGATTCATTTGCGATTAAATTTGATTCTTTCCACCGAACCTTTGGGACAATTGCTATGCATTAGCAAGGTGCCGCTGCTGTCTTTCACACGGAAAAAGGTGGCCCACTTCAGGAGGAAGAGGGTTAATGATCTTTATTTTTATGTAGAGCAGTAATTGCCAGAGGGGTAAAGTGGAGTTAATTGCTGGAAAAATTATGGAAGGGGCCAAATAAACAGGGCTTTGTGAATCTGAGCTGGTATTGGGCGGGCTTTTATTTAGGATGGGATTTGGAGTGAAGGAGGCGGCAGCTGGAGCCCGGGGGCTGTGTCACTGCACCTTGAGTCGCTTCCAACGGAGAGGCCGGGGACGCGAGCCAAAGCTGTTCTTCACCGGACAAAGCGTTCCAATTTACCTCTCAACCTCACACACACATCCATACAACAATGTTGGCGAAGCTGCCAGTAAAGGCAACGTTCTCATTGGGAGCCAATTGGGGTTCAGAGTTTTGCTAAAACATTTCGACATGTGTATAGGAAGAGCTGGGGATTGAACTGCCGACTTTGCTGTCCACGGCCGTTGCAAAGATGATGAGATGGTGCTTTCTGTTTATTCTGTAGACGCACAGCTGCTTTTATGTAGTGATTGCGCTCAGTGAGAGGTGTTGTTATGAGTGAACAAGCGGCTTTGTGATTATTATGGAGGATTGTTCCAGAAGAAGTGAGAACAGATGACAAAAGAACAGCTCGGCTTGGCTTGCCACCTCACCGTCTCCTACGGGCTATTTCCTTCGCTCGCCTTCCCCTGTCTTCGCTCGCACTTTCCCGACAGCCACGCGGCGCTGGCGTGATATCGCTGCCCACGCCGCACTAATGAAGACGTCTCTTTGTTGCTAAAAACAACGGTCGTCACAAAGATGACTGTCTTCTTCTTTCCTTCTTCCCACCTTCTCACCCCCATTCCACCCCCACAGCAGATGGGCTGAGGTGAAAGCCAACCCGCATTCTTTGAGAGCATCTCTACTTCAGCGCTGTTTGTGAGTGTGTGGACTTATGAAATGGCAACGTTTTTCTACAGAACTGGCAGTTTTAAAAGCTGTCCGCGGCTCTGCAGAAGTCCTTTTTTTAATTTTGGATTACTCTGTGCCCTTTGTTGCATGGATAGATGGGGGTGAGAGGACAAAGTGAAGGATTCAAATGAAACATGGGCGAAGGTGTGACCGGGACTTGTCTCATTACCTTTCGTGATTTCTTATTTCCAGACAGCACATCATAGAGAAAGAAAGACAAATAGGGAGGAAGAGAGTTATTAGGGGAAGACTAGTAAGTGTTTGTGCACAGAGAAGCATGCAGAGCTAGAGCAGGCAAGTGCAAAAGCCCACAAAACACACACACACACATAATCCCATTTACACACACGCATGCACATCTGTAAGAAAAATCCACAGAGCTGCAGTGTAGCACGGACAAGGGGATTAAACATGACATTAAAAATAACCTTTTTTTTTCATGTGCATCTTGGCACTTCAAAAGCTATGCACGCTTGATTTTACACACAAGAGCAGTGGTGGAATGTAACTATTGTACTTCTATTTTTTGCAACATTACACTATAATGCCGAAAATACACACATTAATAAATAGGACCTGCACATACTGTATGTAGAGGTGGTTGAGCGAAGGAACTGCCAGTGTACTGAACCCGGGAGCAGTTGGGGGTTTGGTGCCTTGCTCAAGGACACCTCTCCAGCTACCACTCCACACTCCCTATTTTCGGTCCAATCGGGACTTAAACCGTCAACCCTTCGGTTCCCAAGACGACAAGTCCCTTCAGACTGATCTACTGTCTCCCATGTGAATGCTCTAAATAATGCAAAATATGGTTTTTTTGTGATAAACTGAAATATGAGTGTTTTCTGAGAAACTCATGAGAAGTTGAAGTTTTCACAGTTCTCACAACGAGAAAAGCTAAAAAATATGATCTTAAATCTTAAAGAATATGATGCATTGCAGTAGATTAAATTAGCAAACCGTGTATGAACTTGTTAATGATAACCTAAGACATCTACAGCAGTAAAATGCTACATAATGCAGCTGTAATATTAATCCTAAAGCTTCAAACATTTTACATATTGCTAATTATATAAACATGTAGTTATTTAGGTGTAGTATCCAGGACCTTTTTCTGTATTTTCCCTGTGTGGTATTAGAATTTGCACTTAAGTATTTCAATACTTATTCCACCACTGCTGTAGAGAGTGAACACAAAGAAAACAAGAAGGCCATGCAGGAAGCAGATGGTGAAAAGATGAAAGAAAAACCGTTGTGGATGAGAGTGTGAGTGGTGCCACTTCTCCACCCAACCTCATTTACAGACTGCTGCCATTCAGCAGAGGTGCAGCTGATGTTTATATCTTATATGCGTACCTATGTGCCTATGAAAGTATGTACTTCATCATGCTGGCAGCTGAGCCGTCTTTGATACGGACAACACTCCCAGCATGCAATGTGAGTCCATACATGTGTGTGACCACCTTTGATATGATATGGCTTCTTTACGCAAGCACTATAACCCTCTCCCTAGTTTTTAAAACAGAGAATTAGCTAGGACAGGCTTTCTGCATTGAGCTTCATAACTAGTCTCTGCTCATCCCTTGCACCCCCCTCAAACCCCCCACCCTTCAGCACCGCCATCTTTGCCTTGCTCTCCTCCTTTAATAAGATTTTCTGCCTCTGTAGCTGGAGTAAAACACAATTACCATAGGGACGATGGGTGGCAGTCAGGGGAAGGACAGAGGCGGAGAGGGGGAGCGCTGAATCTTTGAGGAAGATGAGTTGACAGAGTGCATGTTCATAATCACAAATTACACTCTTTAATATAATTGGATGACTTACAGGCTAATCAAACTATTAGATCGCCTTCATCTAGAAGCATGTACCTGCTTTATTGGTCTAGACGCGGGGCTGAGGAGTTTCATTACACTCTCTGCTGCTGCATCGCCTTTATCTGCCTCCATCTCCCTCTGTCTCCCAGACACCACCTCAGAGGCTGAATTTATAAAATTGACTGTATACCAGCAGTAAAAGCTAGTGTTTGTGTTCTGTATGCTACACCGACTTTTATCTCCCAGCAAGCTGAAAGGCAGATAGATTTTGTTTCTCTTTTTGAGGGGAATTACAGGACTTTCAAAATGAAGACAGCTTGTCAAACTGGCCCTCTACATCTGGAGCTCTCCCTCTTACCTTGACTGGCGTCGAGGGGGAAGCGGCATACATTCAGCGAATCAAGTCGGTACAAACGCATAGTGTTGAAAATCTTAGCAAAAAGGGCAGGCAATTCTGATTCAACTGAGCCCCAAGGTTGTGGCGATGACATAATGAGAGCACACAGATGATCAAACATAAACAGTATATTAGTTCAGGCACAAGCAAGGCAAAGCGTAGGACAGGCCCGTCACCGTTAGCAGGAGCTTGTTAGCTAGCTCTTTCTTACCGGTGCCTCTCCTCGGACGGGGTCCTTCTTGTTCACCATGATCTCTCCTTTGCGGTTGGAGCGCTCCAGGTTGATGGTGTTCCACACATTCAGCTGGATTGGTTCCATGCTCCTGAATTAAACAAATAAACGAACAAACACTTGGGTTGGTTACCTTTTAGGAAACACAGGCCTCTTTTCACCTGTGGCTTGTTCAGGTGTCATTTTATGTCATTCTAGCACACCATAATATATTTTGCACATCCTGTCCTTATATGGAAACCCTGAGAGGCAAATTAGTAAAAAAAACACCTTTCTAAGTCTGATCTACTTTTTTTTCCTACTGTGTTTATGAGTTAGAACAACATATGTTTCTAGGTGCATACAGGCAGAACATTTTTTTCCGTATACTTAAGTCCTAATCACATTTAAAAAAACGACACAGAGGATATGGATCAGCCATTTATTTTCCCTTGCCTCTCAGGGCTTCTGTGTAAACAAATCTTAAATGTTGCTGACCTGATGGTGGCGGGTCCCTTCCCCAGGTCGTAGCGGAACTCCAGGATGCCCTCATTGAGGGACAGAGAGATGAAGTCTCCTTTTCCGTCCGATTTCTGGCCGTTGTAGAATATCAAACCGTTGGAGCTGTTGGCCTTGAGAATCACCGTCATGCTGACCTTTTGACTGCAGAAACACAAACAAAGCCGAGATGTGAACAAAAGATGCTTGTTTGCCTGTTTTTGATGCACTAGTACTCTGTCTGTATGGAAATTAGGTAGAGATACTATGAATTCTACATGCTTAGGCATACAGATTGTCCTTGTCGCTTCAGTTAAAGCTGAGACTCACCGCAGATCGTGCCCGTAGAGGTGAAGTCCCTTCAGCTCCACATAAGAGTCTCCGTCGAATAGCGGCATGTAAGCCCCGCTCTTCTCAGCCACTGGAAAAACAAAGAGACTATATTCATCCTCAGGTCCCGTTTTTGTTGCTGACAGAATTGAAATTCAGGAGTAGTCAGTACATCTTTCAGGGACCTGTCAGCATTATGGAAAGAGATGGATTTGTGTTTTCATTGCCTTCAGGATTAAGACTTTCTCTCGAAGGAAATTCAAACAAAAAAATCCTTATGTCAGACTGATTACACAGCCCGCCACAGTGTCACAAAGAACCTTTGGAGACATGTGGAGTTTAACACCAAAGCCGGGGCCCATGATATAATGCAGCAATTGTGTTTTGGCAGGCCTTTTTACAAATGACTGTGTTTGCGATGGCTCTACATCTGGCTGTCTGCAGTGATTAGGACAGGCACCGTGCAATCCTTCTAACAAGTGGCTTGACATTAAAAATCGTTCAAGTGTCACCCGGGGGGTATGTGTTTATGGTGCAAAAACTACCACCATTCAGAGGCCTGTGCAACGCTTGACGCTCTAACACACATATATGTAGCCGAAAAAAAGCTTTTGTTCGTAATTGGGTGGGATTAGCTGAGACGAGTCAGGATGGGGAAGGCAGACAGAGATGAGAAAGCTAATTAGCTATTGTGCACAAGACTGCTAATGATGATGGCACGCACCATGCAGAAGTGGGAAAAACAGTCTAGGATTTGCGCGCTAAACTGAACTCTATTAAAGTAGAAGAGCCGCTCAGGATGTAGTTACTTAAAGAGATTGGAAGGGGGGATTCACCCTGTGTTTCAAAATGAAAGCACCGCGATCAATAAGTCACCAGAGGTCCAGGCATTGGAATGAGTTGAGTGACCAGGAAAACCCACATGGCGTGCGGGGTGTGAAGCTTGACGTCTTAGAAAAGTTAAATTTTTTCAGAGTTATTTAAAAACGCAGCAGAAATAAGTCCCTGGAAAGCGATGCTCAGGGAGCCGTTGCCTCTAGTTCTCTTGTTGACGTAAGCTCAGAGGTCATTTTGTTTGGATTTGAGTAATGCCGCTTTATTAGTACTCGCTATAAAACCCATCAAAACAATGTAAAATAAGGATTGGCAATATCAGAGCAGCTAAAATGCACATTTTGCTGGTTCAAAAACGTTGTAGCTGCAATCAAACCTCATGGTGCTGCCCCCCAATCAATCGGCTCTTCAACAGATTAGCTGCAGTGTTAATCAGACACACACACTCTCTCTCAGGTGCTGTTTACACGAGAACGCAAACGGTTGTATCCGCTACTTTTCTCTTTCACAAAGCCCGTTAGTTCACACGAGGCCGTAACGGAAACGCGGAAACGGACCCCGCAAACGATAACGGGTCCCAAGGTGGATAGATCTGCAAACGGAACGCCCTGGGGGGCCAAACCATGGATGTATAATAAGAACTGGATACAGCGTGGGAGGCGGGGCCTCGTTCATTCCAATGAGAGTTGCTCATTGGTGCATGAAGACAAAATGGCCCAACTTTTGAGAGAGCGAAACGTCACGAAAGCATTCATATAATCATATAATCCGTTCTTATTGTGCATCCATGGGTAAAGGTAAAACTCATGTAGTACTGAACACGTGACATGAACGTGCCGGGCGGCGTGGCCCCGTGGGTTAGATGCACGTTCATAATGCCGAGGAAAATAACTCTGAGAATAACGTTATTAGCACATTTTACAAATTGAGGACCGAATGTTTTTAATAAGGGCTATACAAATGTTCATACTGGGTAGTTTATTTAGTTTAAAAAAAATCATCCCACGATTTACAGACGTCTCTTTCCCAATGTTAGTCAATGGGAAAAGTCTTTCCGGCCCCAGCTACTGATACGGAAGTGTAGTACCGCCGTTTGGCCACAACGAATATTTTCCTCAGAGTCCGGCGCACTTCCTGGCTCAGTGTGTACGCTATACGATCATTTCCTGATAACAATGAAGCCATAGCCCCACCTCTCCCCACCATGGATGTATAATAAGAACTGGATACAGCGTGGGAGGCGGGGTCTCGTTCTTTCCTATGAGAGCTGCTCATTGGCGCAGGAAGACAAAATGGCCCAACTTTTGAGAGAGCGAAACGTCACAGATTACCCGTCATGTCTGGCTGTCAGAGCAGAATAACCCATATGTGCAGTCACCAGACCCGGCGTCATGACGCCCGCCCATCCAGGATTTGGGCCCGCTGTTTTAATCTGAATACAACATTTTAATTGTTTTATTATTATGTTTATTGTTGTTATTTGTAGGGCTTTGTCCTAACATTTATTTTTGTTTTAAACTATTTTCTCTCTTCTCTAGCTCTCGTCGTGAGCG